GGGGGGGGGGGGGGGGGGGGGGGGGGGGGGGGGGTAATGCTGAGTGCCAAATGATCAGAGACCCTTTGATGGACCATGTTAATTATTCAGTAGTTTTGTATGAGAGGAGATCTGTGGCTGCTGAGACCAAGACAAACCTAAAGATCTGAGACAACCTGTGTTCTGTCATCTTTGTAACACACACACAAACACACACACACACACACACAATAATATTTTGTCATCAAATATATAATTATTGATTGTTTCTGTGTGAGGTAAGACCTGATAGATTTAAATATTGTGTAGTCTGAAAATAAAAAACTCTATCCACAAATACAAAAATAAAAATTTAAATAAAAATTTAAATAAAAATTTAAAAATTGTTAAATCACAAAATATTTTTGCAAATATAAAACAAATCTGTAACTATACAAACAAAATTCCACAAATTAAAAACTAAACGTGTGAACATATTAATTTAGATTACAAACATTTGTGAATATCTTTCTAACATTTGCAACTTTCAAACACGTATTTGTGAATCTCAATTCTGTGTTTATAGAATTTTATTTTACGCTTTTTTTAAGAAAAAAAATAGGAATTTGTGTATTTGCAGATCTGTTATATATTTTCAAAATATTTTTGTGAGTCAACAAATCTCTTGCTTTTTGGGGGGTCTTTGTACAGATCAGCATTTTGTTTACAGAGGTTTGTTCTCACAGTAAATACCGAGACTCTATTATCTCCATGGTTTTAAAATGATCTCTTTAAAGCGTGTTTTAGAACAGAGATCAAACATGAAAATATCAGTAATCAGTTAATAACAAAAAGGAATATTATGGATTATTTTATTTAAATGTTTAAAACTGAATAAATTACTCAAAAAAACTGAGTTTAATTTTTAAAATCAAAAAAACATTTCCTCGTTTTGTCCCTTTTTTTTTTTAAAAAAAAAATATGTTTTATTGTCATTTATTGTTTTTGTTTGCGATTTTTTTTTTTAAAAAAAGCGCGCACGCTGCCGCCTCCACCACCTCGGGCACGCGGACGTCATTACGTAGCCGAACGTTCAAATCTTGGTGAGAGCCAATCAGGATCGTCCAGGTCACAGGTGCCGTGTTCGTAGCGGAAGAGAAGATGGCTGCTGCGAGGAACGGAAAGAGCGGACTCCTGGAAAAAGTGAGGAGTTAAACTTTTCTTGTTTTTCTTCAGCTGTAAAGAAAAGTGGAGGATTTTATTTTCTCCTGGAGGACGGGCTGTCGGAGCGGACATTTTATCTGTCTGCGCGCCGGCTAGCTTCATCCTCTGTTAGCGGTTAGCCTGCTAAGCTAACGCTAGCTGGCTAAAATACATGTATTTATTAAATTTATATCAAGCCGAGTTCATCCGGAGGTGAAGCTCTGTTTGTGTGTGTGTGTGCGCGTCTCTCGTTGTGTGTTCACACTGCAGCGGGTTGTTTAGTTCACTGTGTGCAGCCGTTACAAACAGCTGGTGCTCAGCCGGCTGCACCAAACCTCATTCAGAAAACAGGTGATTTAGGTTTATTTAAATGTTAAAGGTATTCTGAGTCATTGTAAGAGCACAGGAGCAGACATTAGCACTGGGTCATTAAATCGGCCATGGTTTTATAGTGATAGCTGAGCCCGCGTTATTGCATCACCTCCTCCTGAGTGATGTTACTGAGTTAAAGAGATGAGGCGGAAGCTGCACACTCAGATCTGACAGCTGTAGTTTGTATTTTAAGTCCTGCAGATCAATGTTTGGGCTCATTGATCCCATACGAGGAGTTATTTTTTGATTCTTGATACCAGTGATGAGTTAATTTGTCCATGAACGCTGCGTCATTAGTTACCAGAGGAAACTTCTTCACATGCTGAGGCTGCAGTGATGAGCTGTTAATACACTGGTTCCCAACCTGTGGGTCCCGGCACCAATAAGGGGTCACCATAGCTTCACAGGGGGTCACATGACCTCCGTGATGATCAGGGTTGTAAGAAAACCTTTTATTATAATGACATGCTTGACAGGTAACTCGGCCCTTTTAGTTCACGTAATAAATGTGATAATATATAAAGTCTGGATCGTTATCTAAGAGCTGAACCTGAAACAAGGCTGAGACACAAACTACAGTCACTCTGTCAGACAACCTTGTCCTGCCTGAGGAGAGTCAAGTCAACTTTATTTACACAGCACAGTGTCAATGAATAAATATAGCCGTGTGATAACGGAGTTAAATGTATGAAACAGTTCTTATTTTTATTTGTTTTATAACAACATGATCAGTGATAATCAATGAACTTGTGTTTCAGTGGAGAATCGATGAGAAGCCGGTGAAAATCGATAAATGGGATGGAGCCGCTGTGAAGAACTCTCTGGATGACGCCGCCAAGAAGGTCAACTTTTATTCTGAAAGTCCGTCACACTCAGGATGTTGGTGTGTTAACGTTACAGTCAGAATCAGTCATCAATAATCCATCTGTGTATTGATCCGTGTGGCCTTCAGGTGCTGCTGGAGAAATACGGTTATGTGGAGAACTTTGGGCTGGTGGATGGTCGTCTGTTGATCTGTACCGTTTCCTGTCTGTTCGCCATGCTGGCTCTGGTCTGGGACTACCTGCACCCCTTCCCTGAGTCCAGACCAGTCCTCGCCTGCTGCGTCATCTCATATCCTTCACCAGCAGCAGGGGACAGGAAGTCCACCTGAGACCGCTTGGTCTCATGTCAGGAGGCTTGTTTGAGACGAGCTGCGGCTCGAGAGCAGATGATGTCAAGTCGTTTTGACTCGTCGTGTAAAGACGGCAGTAGAAACGGTGCTGTTATCGTCTGGAGGCAGCATCAGTATACAGTTCAAAGTATGACACTACTTCCTGTCTGATGACCTCACTTTACGCATCACTCAAGCCGTGCAATAAACATTTGACGCAATACGTTTTTTTAGGTCTCGGCACCGGCAATAGCCACAGCCGGTGGCGTTATATTTTCGGGTTTGTCCATCTGTCCGTCCTATTCTCAAGAGCACAATATCTCAAAACGCCTTGAAGACAGTTATTCAAGTTTGACACAAACATCCACCTGGACTCAGAGATAAACTAATCAGAATTTGGTAGTCAAAGGACAAGGTCACTGTGACCTGTGTCCGTCTCATTCTCATGAAAGTGATATGTCAAGAACGCTTTTTTGGGAATTTCCCCTAATTTGGCACAAACGTCCATGAGGATGAACTAATTAGAAGATTTGGTTATGTTTTTGGCCACAGCTCAGAAATTCATGCGCTGATTTTGACAAAACTTTACATAAATGTCTGACAGGATGAAATAATGACGTGTTGACATTTTAAATCCAAAAGGTCAAAGGTCAGCTTCACTGTGACATCATCATGTTTTGACGTCATATCTCAGGAACAGAGTTTGGTCAGATGGTCCCATCATGCAGTGCAGGACAAAGATGTGGAGCGAGCAGGTCTGCGTTGGTGCAGCTTGTCTCAAACGAGCCTCTGATGTGGTGTGGGGTCAGTGTGTGTGGTGACTGGGAGCACTGGGGGAACTGGGAGCAATGGTTGTTTTTCCCTAACAGTCCATCACGTACTTCATCATGATGGGCATCCTGACGCTGTACACCTCCTACAGAGAGAAGAACATCTTCCTGGTGTCTCTGCAGAAGGATCCAGCTGGGATGGATCCAGACCACATGTGGCAGCTGTCCTCCTCCCTCAAACGGTACGACTCTTTACCCAGCATGCACTCTGATCACACACACATCCCACTGCACAGGAAACATGTCAAGCCCATCTGATTTCACAGATCTGAATCTGTCTGGTCTGTGAGTTTGACTGTGTTGACAATAAACAGACTCAGTCAGCTGCCGTCTCATTAATAAAACCATTTGTAGACTCCTTTCTAAAAATGCATGGATGAACAAAAGCTAAAATGGCGTGCTCCAAATAATATTCGCCAGTTTCAGGCTCCACCTCACTGTCTGCGTCGCCATCTTCCTGTCTCCAAAATGCTGATCATCATGGGTCAGAGTTTCTCCCGTTAAGTCTGTCTTTATAGATCACAGCTTTTCCGTAGGAAGTGGCGTTCGCCTCTTTCAGGCCTCGTTTTGTGTGTACTCAGTGTTTGTGTGCTAACTGTGTGTGTTTTGTGTCGCAGGTTCGATGACCAGTACACTCTCAGAGTCTCCTTCTCCGATGGAAAGTCGAAGACCTCGCGGGAAGCTGAGTTTACCAAATCTGTGTCGGCGTTCTTCGACGAGAACGGGACGCTGGCCATGGACCAGTTTGAGAAGTGTGTTTCTAAACTTCACGACACGCTGGCGTCGGAGAAGAAGACCAAATAAAACCAGAACATCTGTAAAGTCACGAGGTGGCGTTTGATTCAGGAGGAACGTCTTTGGTTTCATTTCAGCCTGCGGAGAGAAACTCCATCACCTCTGAGTTTTGAAGACGACCTCATCGTTACCTGTCAGTGCAGCTCCTGGTGATGCGTTCAGGGTCGTTCAGAGAGCCGACTGCTGAACAGTCTGTTCCTTTGATTTAAATTAAACTTTACTCCTCAAATTGTTTCTCGTCTGAGTTTTCAGCTGCGTCCTGTGGTCTTCATCAGAGGGTTTCTCGGTTGTCATGGTGACATGTTGACAGTTCAGTTGTTCACCCTAACACCTGATGACCGTGACCACCGAGCGTCCGCAGAGGAAGACCACACGTCTCAGCGTTTCCTCTGTCGTCTTCATCAGGAGCTGCTGATGGATTTTCTCTCACGCTGTTGGCCATTTTTATGGAGATGACCTGAAACCAAACGAAGTCCTCGACAGGAAGTAAAGCGCTTCCTGTCACGTTGTCAGCATTCGCTCGCCTCGAAGCTTTTAGCCACAGTAACGAAGAGTTTCCTCACAGAATGATTAGTGACGATAACATCGACTCTTCTGTTGTGAAACAAGTGAATTAAAAAACCTTTTTATAGTTTCGCCTGACGGACACACCGTCACCGTCGTCTGTTGCTTTGATTTTATTTTCATCTGTTTATCGTTGTTCTTTTATTTTTGCAGCTGCAGCCATTTTCTTTTTTATTTCTAATGTTTTCTGTTTTGATGCTTTTCTTTGTCACATGAAAATAAAGTGAACAGCTTTGGATTTTTGGACTGTTGTTCAGATGAACCGTCTGAAGACGTCACAGCAAAAGAAAATAATGAAAATAATGTTTAGTTGCATTATTTTCATTATCGATCAGTCTGCTCTTTATTTTCTCCGTCAATGTTTGGTCTATAAAATGTCAAATGACTTCTCAGATTCTGGCTGCGTTTCTTTTATTTTGATGACATTTTGGCCCAAACGTCATCAAAGTAAAAGAAACACAGCCGGAGTGTGCGACACTTGTTTTCTACATCAGGTGTGCTGCCTGTGATCAGCACCTCCTTATAATTATTGATGTGTGTTACTTTTATATTTAAAAAATGAGTTATCTGAACGACGACTCGAAATAATGACGTTGTATCCTGAAAAACAAACCAAACCATCAGATCTCAAAATAAGACCGAACCTGTCTTGGAAAAAAAAGACCTAGCATCTCAAAAATAATGACGTAGCATCTCTAAACGTTTGTCTTTAAATGTTTCATCAGCCTAAATCTTAAAGACGTTCAGTGTAACATGATGTAAAACAACTTAAACATTCAGTTATCTAAATAATTTTCCGTCTTCTCTGATCGTTGCAGCTCTGGAGTCGTATTTATCAAGCGTCTTAGAGCGCCATTTTAGTCTTAAGTGCTGAGAATTTGTGAAATTCAGTCCTGCTCTCAAACTTAATAATAAAAGCTATTTATCAACCTTCTCACGTCTAAGAATCACTCCTGCTCCCCCAGATATTTGAGACCTCCGGAGGTGTCCTCAGTGGTCAGGAGCTGCCAGTAGAGGATGGCACTGACGAGAGAGACGTGCGCGAAGGATGTCCTGGCTTTGTTTGATGACGAGCAGCTGATCAAACGGTATCGTTTGGACAAAGCGGGTATTATTATTGTCACAGATTTCATAAGGGACGTCATCTCATCAGTAACGTGACGCAGCAGAGCTTTCACGGCAGAATTAAAGGTCATCACAATGCTTCGATATCTCGCCACTGGAAAAATGCAACAGTGTAACGCTGATTATTTGGATCCATCACAACCGTCAATTAGCAGAATTGTTATGGAAACATATTAGGATCATCGCTCCAAGCGTGGACGAGAGCGTTTATGTAAACAGGAAGAGGTACCACAGTATCAACACGCAAGTAGTGTTTGATGCAGACTACAACATCTTGGATGTGGTACCCAAGTGACCTGGGTCCACCCATGACGCAAGGATCCTAAATGAAAGTGGCCTGAAGCAGCTGTTTGAGAGGCACATTGTGCCGCCTGATTGGTGGATAAGGGATATCCCTAACGCCGCTGGCTTCTTACCTCTTATCAGATGGTCAGTTAACAGGTTAGTCCAACGAAATGCCTAATTGTTTTAAATTTAAAATGTTTAATTAAGCTTATAGAATATGGTTTAATAATATTCTCGTCACAGGACACACACAAGCACAAGAAGTGTGGTGGAGAGAGGAACTGACCAGTGGAAGCGTTCTGCGTTCAGAAATACGGCACTGGAGCGTGTCGCATCATTATGGCATGTGCAATACTGCACAACATTTGCAAGGCGCGCAATGTCCCAGTCCCACCAGCAGATGACGATGATGATGACGATGAGGGAGGAGATGGAGATGCGAGCGTCCCTAGCAACATCCATCCATCTGATAGTGTCTCTTCTTCTCTCCAGTCTGGTTTTATTTTTGATTCCATGTTGGTTTCAGCTTGGTGGACTGTGGCTGCAGTAAATAGAGCCACTCAGTTAACCGCACACCAGGTAGTTGCCTAATTAATGAACTGGAAAGACAAGGAAACATTTATTTTTGATTCATTGCCAGTGTACGTTATATGTTTTGTATTATTTGTAGATTATTGTCGAAATATAACCTACACTCCCGTTGTCCATTTAACTATTCACTGAGATATTTCTATATTCTTAGATAAGGGATTCCCTTCACTGATTGGTCATTTCTATGGACTTGGAAGTGACGTCACCTAAAATTCCGTTTATGGCACATAGTACCATAGACATATATACATGTCTATATGTATATATGTATATATGTATATATGTCCAGTGCCGTAGAATATAACAGAGTCGCAACAACGGAAGTCCAAAATGCTTGTGCGTCACGTGACTCATGTAGACCTCGGATAGTTCCCGGAAGTTACTGGCGGGCCGTTTAAATACATAATACTGAGAGACAAAATTCCGGTTTTTGGTAAGTAGCTGTCAATAACTACATTGATTTATAATATACGTGTATCACGCCATAAACAGTTACATCTTTATGTTGTTTTTTAAAGTAAAATGTGCTAATATTTGAGGATTAGTGTTAGTTTACTACAGTTAGGTAAGACTCAATTAATCCCAACCTTGGAAATTCACATTACAGCAGCTCAGAGCAGAGGCAATAGAAAAAGGATAAAATATTTTTTAAATACAAATTAGACATAATGAAAATAATAGAAAATCCATATACACCTTTCACTGAAACAGATACTGTATGCTCATGATTAATAGCTGCACAGGATGAGTGTAATACATGATGTGTAGTATTCTTACTGTAAAAATATAGGAATGTATAGATATCCCACAGGAAGTGGCAAAATATTGCACACAGGAATATTACACAGTATGTACACAGTTTAAATATAAGGGATGTGGATAAGGATATGTATTTATATACAGGCCAGTATAAGTATATTAATGACATAACATAATTATATGATAGAAATGTATTATTACACAGTATAGCTATGTGTAATGTGTATATAACATATATTATTGTCTGCCTTGTTTAAATATGTAAGTCTTTCCTTACCTTGGTGAAACAGCATGTTGCTTTTATTGCTTTAAATGATGTTTTCAGTTCTGTCCTTAGTCTTGTGTGGTTGTCCAGAGTAATCACATCCTAACATTTATTGATAATGTAATGGTTGTAATGATTTATAACTAATGTTATCTTAATTACTTTCAGTGGGACAGAAGGAGACCGACGACAGGTGACTACCAATGACTGTCAAGTGACAGCACAGTGGGTCACAGGGCTAGCAGCAGCAGCAGCAGCAGCAGCAGCAGCAGCAGCAGCAGCAGTTTATAGACATATTTATATATATTTTATGTAGCTTAGTCTTTTTACTATGTACTTATTTACTATAACAAATTCATTTTTAATAAACTCAGAAACATGACTTGGATGTCAAGCAGTTTGTCTGTGTCCTTCCTTCTGTGTTGTCCTCTCGTACAGTCTCCACCATGGTGCTGTGTGGGGATGTTCCAGTCGTTTAGAGAGAAAGGTACACATGCACAATTTCTTAATTGACACAGAGATGAGAAATTTTTTTTTTGGCCTAAGTCAGCAGGAGTAACCTGAGACTCACTACAGACTACAACAACAAAAATATGTAACGTTATCATTCTCAAATACTGCATTAGCACATTTCCACAAACAAAGACCACACTATTGGGAAGCTCAGTGTTTGGTTTATTAAAAATAAGGAACAGGGAAAGGCTTGCAAAACCCAGGGAGCTGAGACTCAGGGTAAGAGGGTTGTTTCATTGCGGGGTGAGTTCAGGCTCCATTGCATCCCCCTGTTGTTCTTGTGCTGAAAGAGAAAAAAAAAAGAACGAGGAGAAATGGTTAGACACACGTATATATGCCTGGGTCTGACGCTGCCTTGTGAGATAAGGCACAAGTATGACAAGTGGCATCAGTTTTAATTGCATTTGTTTGAAGTTGTCTCATGGATATGTAATGAGTGTATACATGTTCAGTAAGTATAAAATGTTCCCGAATACTGTTTGCATTCAGCCACTATGGGATATGTCTGTGGGTAGACAAAAGTGAGTTGTGTGTGGGAAGTCACTGCAGGCACATTTTGGTGCAGACCAAAAAGGGCAAGACAAGGCTTAGAGCAGATTTAATTCCCACCGTCTTTGTGCATCATGCTGTGAGCGCCCCTGCACCACAATGCACCCCTGGACCTGTAACATCATTGTTATTGCCACTCCTGAACTGTAACATTAATGGTCCTCATCCTGCAGCACTCCTGACACGAGGCACGCAGCATCACTGCAGTATAATTCCTTAAAATGTTTACTTATATTTCAGTGTTGGGTGCTGTTGTAACTGATCAGCACACTGGAAACCAGCAGGTGGTCTACCAGCTCTGGTGTATTGATTTGCACTTGTCATAGTGACTGACTGGCAAGCCAATTTGCTTTTGTTGTGCTAACCTCAGCATTTGCGTACTGTGTTTCATATGACTGGCTCTCAAATATTCATCCCTATCTCATAAGTTATCAGACTTTGATCCTGTGTCTGCTCGTCCCTGTGTCCACAGTTATCTCTTTATTTGAAAAGGTCGAGGCTATTTAATTGTTTAATATCATCACACTGTTATTTATATAAGCAGGGGATGTTAATACAAAGTTGTAACCACTGTATGTGAATGTGTGAATCGGTCAGATCTGCACTCCAGAGGAGAGCCTTCATTAGACTATGCAATATCGCCCACTACTGGATTTGTAAGTTAATGAACTGTAATTAAAATTCTGCGCTTTAATTAGCCGCTATAAAACAACATGACCCTCTTCTATTTTATAATGCCTACTAATATTATAATATTATAATGACGGTAACTGGTAATATGCAATGTATTACATGTTCAAAGTAACTTGCCCAACACTGTCTATCATATATATTCAATATAATTACTTATATAATTAATATAAAATACAGTATAATACATATTAAGTATGATTCCTTATGATTCTTATAACTACTTGAAACACACCTTGTTAAGTTTTAAGTCTCACCAAGGTCGACTCAGCACTTACCTGCAGCGTCCTCTCTCACACAGTGGTCCTACAGCAGGTTACAAATATACAAGATTACATATCTAATACTGTGATAGAATATATGTTTAGCATGATCATATGTATAACACAGTAATATATACATACATTTGGTATTTAGAATAATTCCCCATTTAGCCTGGTATGTTTCATTTATCAAAATTACTTAACCTTGTGTTTTAAATCTCATTCAGGTCAAACTTCCCTCTCACTTTGCTATCAATGTAATATCAGCTGAGCTGTAACATATTATAGACAGGTATACTCAACAGAATCACAAAACCTAAAAAACAGACCATAAGTTCCGTTTTTGTTTCATTTCACCTCCTCCACTCAACAATCACGCAGCAATGTCATATTTAACTGAGCTAATAATCAATAATCGCAAAAAATCAGTACTGGAAGCACTCTAACTTCCCAATGTTAGATAAAATGGTTTAGGAGAAGACAATTTAAAACTAACAGGCTGTTCATGGTTAGCATTACCTGTATGGTGTGTACAATATGTACAGTGTCCTAGCCTAATCTGTTATCTTATCTTTTAACATTACATAAATCTAATAATTTAATGGGAGATAATCCACTAACAAGCTTTAATGCACATGTTCATTTATATAAGTTGTGCTGATAATGTAAAATTTGAGTCTTTGGACATCTTAGCCGTTAAAAGTACAACACAGCCGGTCTTTTCTGCTGTAGCTCCATTGCACTGCTAGCATGTGCTGCTTACTTCTGGGAACTATTGAGAGGCTCCGCGAACCGCCATTGCTGTGAAAAAAATGGCCCATTAGAGTGAATGGAGATGACGCGACTCTCTATTCAAGGGCTCTGGTACTGTCATGATTCAGCTCTGAGACCCACACTTAAGATTCAGTCCTACACTTCACTAAAAGTATAAGTAGGACGCTTGATGACTAACTTTTAAGTGCAGCTTTCAGCGAAGAATTTTTTTAGTCATAAGTCGACTCTTAGCAGTGCTCTTAGGAGTCATTCTAAGAAGCTTGATAAATACGGGCCCTGCTGTTGAAGTTCTCACAGTTTAATGCTAACGTGCAAACACGCTGAATAAAGTGTGGCGTTCCTCTTGGTCAGCTCTGTTCGGCCCAGACAGTCGTTTATAAGGTAATTAATGATCCTCAGCAGCTCATCAGCTCATACTGTGAGATTATTATTAACACGTATTTTTGTCTCATCGAGCGGTGACAAAGTGTTGATTCAGGTGTTGTCAGTGTTTCTCTGAACTCGGCAGGTTCGTCTCATCATAACGTCTCAGCGCCACGAGACTTCCTGTGGGAGATTTTTAAAAACTGTGACGTGTTGTTTTATGACTGGTCAGATTCTCTGAGAGGATTATTTTAGTTTTCTAAATTCTGATTTTAATAAATCGTTATGGGAGTCCATATGCACGAATGTGATTAGAATAAAGATCCAATTAGTAAAAACAGATCTCGAAACAATCAAACAGTATCGAAAAATGTAATGACAGCATTTTGAAATAATGACTTCGTATCTCAAAACCTCGGAGTGATTTTCAGAAATAACCATGAAATAAGTCAGTTTCTTAAAGTTACAGTGTCTCAAATAATGAGTCTGACTGTATCTCAAGATAACTCAGTATCTCGACATGATGTCATCGTATCTCTACATTATGATTTACTCTGAAATGATAACCAAGTCATTTTGGGTCAAAGAAACTGACTCAGTATTTCGAGATAATGTGGTAATCTTAAAACATCATCTTCTGAAAGTTTCTCTTCACAGTGACCCACAGGTTTGGACCAAGTTCATCGACTTTATTCGCACCTTTAAAAGTTTCTCTCTTCGTCTCCTTCTGACAGTTTTATAACAAACGACGGCCCTTCAATGTGACATCACTGCTGGGCGGAGCCTTGTGAGGGCGGCCAAACCACCAGTGAAGGTCACACAGGTCATGAACAAGCAGCCGACAAAATGAAAGATATAAAATCAGAACACAAAGACGTTGGGTCCACGGCACCGTGGTTTGTAAAAAGATTTGATTTCTGTCTCTGTGTCGATGACATCACCATCAGGAGCTCTTGGTTGGCGTGCGTCTGTGTGCGACTCAACAACAGATGAGCATTTATGAGTGGAAGTGAAAGGATGTTGAACACAGACGGACGCACGTGTTGATGCCTTACAACAGGAAGTGGACCGAATGTCGACCACACTTTACTTTTGAATGTCATATTTATTTCTCTGTGACTTTGTTATCGACACATTAAAGATGGAGATTGTTCTGAGTGAGTTTACAGATGATGTTTGTCCTGCAGTACCTCCGTTCATCCAGCAGGTGGCGCCGTCGTCCCGCTGCTCACTGACAGTCACTGTGTTTAAAGTGGATTTAGGTCAGCGGCTGGTAATTTAGTCTTTATTTAGATCCCATGAGCCTCTGCAGAGTGTCTCTGCTCCTGAGCTCAGCACACAACAAACAAACAATTTAAAATCACACTGAATCAACAGAATAAAGAACTGAATGACTCAACAGATGAAAAGAGAGAAAACAGGAGTTTGAATAAGAAATAAAAGAAACAGAGTGACATGAATCAGTTTAAGTTTTAGTGACTTTAAATAAGACAAATAAAAATACTTTGAAGCTTCAGATAGAAAAAGATCTTTAAATTAAAAATTCTCCTCATTTGTTAATGAAACCAGCAGAGAATGTGTAAAGTAACTAAAGTAACTGAGTACTTTTACTCAAGCACTGCACTACAGAATATTGTTCAATACTTCTACTTGGTCTCTCAGAGAGAAAATATTGATATTTATTGATTTAAGAACCCAAAGTTAGTTTATTTTATTTTAATTTATTTTGTTTAAGTTTATTTTATATTACTTTGTTTTAGCTTAGTTAATTTTATTTTATTTCAGTAGTTTATTTTTAGTTTAGTTTATTTTGGTTAATTTATTTTAGATTATTTTATTTTATTATGTTTTATTTTAGTTTAATTTATCTTAGTTTTATTATTAGAATATAATAATATATAATATAATATTTTAGATTAGTTTATTTTAGTTTAGATAATTTTATTTTATTTCAAATTACTTTATTTGTAGTTCAGTTTGTTTTGGTTAATTTATGTTAGATTAGTTTATCTTATTTTATTTTAGATTAGTTAATTTAAATGTTTTTTTGTTTAGTTGTACAGAAAATACAGGAAAAAAGATAGGAGACCTTGATGTAATGCAACATTTGGACACAGAGCACCTCGCCCGGTAAAGGGACACTGGGCCCTCAAAGATTAAAGAACTGAAAAAGAGATCCAGACCAAGAAATACAAAATTATTAGAGATGTACAATTTACCAAAAAAAAAAAAAAAATTACTTTGCATTTTTTTTTGCTTCTTGTCTTATGTATTAAAAATATACAAATAAACTAAAATAAAAGTAATAAAACTCCAGTGTAGAAAAACTATTACAACTAAATGTCCTGCTTTCTAAATTTTATTTAGTGAAAAAAATTAAATACAAAAATATGTTTTCTTTTAAAACATGGGGAGACGGCAACGAAGGAAGAAAATGACCCCAAAAAATATGCAAAACATTAGTAAAAGAGAAAATTCAAAAACAAGAAAATTAGTTTAAATAAATAAAGTTCAACACAAACAAACACGGAAAATAACCTGGAAAGAGTGCTTAAAATTGTAGTAGTTCTGTGACATAATTTAAGATGTAATAATAATAATAATAATAATAATAATAATAATAATAATAATGATAATAATAATTAGAATAGTTTTCCAGAATCAGAAACAATTCATTGATGCCTGAGGGGAAATTGTGATTACAGTCGCCCTTATGTAAAAAATAGAAAATTTTAAGTCATCAAAATTGTACTTAATTGTAAATGAAATTGTACGTAAGCACAGTACTTGAGTAAATGTACTTTGTTATATTCCATGAGTGAGTGTTGGTGAAGCGCAGAACAAAGTTGAGTTGTTAGCAAACATTTTTAACATCTGATAGCAAATACTTCACAAAGATTTAAATTAAAATTGGACCCAGTTACCTTCCCTGTGGAACACCGCAAAGATTTAAAAAATATATACTGTGGTTTAAAAATTAACGTTATCATCCTGTGTTCATTTATGTATCTATGGCATTTAAAACAACGTAACTGGAAGGAGGATCTCAGCTTTATCATTTTATTTATTATTATTATTATTTATTCTAAATGCTTTATCTATGAATTCGGACACACATTTTATTTTATATTGTTGCTTTAGGAGCAGAAAAACCTGTGAAAATGTAAAAACCAAGTCCACAACCAGCATCAAGCTGAAAAAGACCAAACAGTTTTCCAGGCTGAGACTCTGACCAATCAGAGAGCAGGAGCAGGTGGGTGGGGCCAGTGCAGCGATGGGCGGGATAAGTAGGCAGGTCAGCTGTGGCTCAGTAAGCACTGATCAGATGAGTGTGAGGGGAGCAGAGTGTGTTGCTGTGTCTCGGCCATGGCCTGTCTGATGGCCGCCTGGTCCGTCCATAACCCCACCGTCACCAACTCCATCATCATGGTGAGTACGCACGAGACACTCTGTCCATCACATCAATCTGCCGGGGACATGTGGGACAGCGTTAAGCTCTCAGAGGGACACACAGATCTAAATACAACTAATGCAATTAAACCAGACGAGGTGGAAATAAACTGAAAACTAAAATCAGACACACGTATATAAATATATATGATTAAACCACGTCCAAATAATCAACCTCCAACACCAGCTTTAGAAAACACACACATTCTGTCTCTGTCCAAGTGGGGACACACTGCTGACACTGGACTCTGGGGACACAGTTGAAATATACTGAGGACATTTACTGGACATTTCTTAAAAATACATCAGAAACTTACTGGACTTCTTTTTTTTTGAGACATAAACTGGAGACATACTAGGGACAAAGTAGAGACACACAGGACACATACTGGGGACACACTGGAATTATTGTGGAGACATACTGGACATTTCATAGAGACATACTGGAGACATACTAGGGACATAGTGGAGTTACAGTGGAGACAATTTCTTCAAGATTTACTGGACACATACTGGAGACACACGAGACATACTGAAGACACACTGGAGACATACTAGAGACACACTGGATACATACTGGAGACACTGGAGACACACTGGAGACGCACTGGAGACACACTGGAGACATACTGGAGACACTGGAGACACACTGCAGACACACTGAAGACATACTGGAGACACTGGAGACACACTGGAGACGCACTGGAGACACACTGGAGACAAACTGAAGACACATTGAAGACACACTGGGGACATACAGGAGACACACTGGAGACATACAGGAGACACACTGAAGACACACTGGAGACATACAGGAGACACACTGAAGACACACTGGAGACATACTGGAGACACACTGGAGACACACTGGAGACACACTGAAGACACACTGGAGACACACTGGAGACACACTAGAGACACACTGGAGACATACCGAAGACACACTGGAGACATACTGGAGACACACTGAAGACACACTGAAGACACACTAGAGACATACTGGAGACATACTGAAGACACACTGGAGACACACTGGAGACATACTAGAGACACACTAGAGACACACTGGAGACACACTAGAGACATACTGGAGACACACTGGAGACACACTGGAGACATACTGGAGACACACTGGAGACATACTGGAGACACACTGGAGACACACTAGAGACACACTGGAGACACACTGGAGACACACTGGAGACATACTGGAGACATACTAGAGACACACTGGAGACATACTAGAGACATACTGGAGACACACTGAAGACATACTGGAGACACACTGGAGACATACTAGAGACATAGTGGAGACACACTGGAGACACACTAGAGACACACTGGAGACACACTAGAGACACACTAGAGACACACTGGAGACACACTGGACATTTAAGATGAAACAGCTATTATTATTATTATTATTTTTATGTACGTCCCCACACTGCGGGTGGCAGGGCGCACACTGACTCCACCCATACATCTCAGCTCCTGTAGCAGCTCGACTCTTCTCGCCTCTTGTTGTCTCTCTGTGTTGAAAGACGGATGAAGAACTTCGACATCGTTTACATCATTTTAAAGACAGTGACAGGAAGTAATTTCCTGTCAAGCCACAGCTCTGGAGACTGGCTCTTCGGACAGGAAATCAGGTTTAAGTAGATGGTGACATCATCAGATCTGTAGCCAGAGCAGGTGGAGGAAGTGCTGCGATGTTTTACTGTAGTAAAAGTAGACATACTTCCTGTTGACGCGCTGCAGTGCGACACTTCCTGTTGGTGATGTCAGCTGAACTTTAGAAAACAAGTTCAACTTAAAATCTGAAGTATGATCAACAGATGTTTCTAACGAGTCTTCTTTTAATACGATGAACTTAAAGTTGTGTCTGTCGCAGACATTTCGTACGGCAGTTAAAAACAACATGAAGCTGGTTTAAATTAAATTAACCAACATTATGACATTATTATAACAAGTGTTAAAGACACACAGGAAGTTCACACCATCAATTTAAATCGACTCATGTTTGTAAGTTCTGAAGCCTCCAAATAATGAATGACACGTACAGATGTCGCCTGTATAAACAGGATGTGTGGTGCAGCTGAGTCGTGCTGCAGCGTGACCAACAGTGACCGACAGTGACCGACAGTGACCTCCTGCAGCTCCTGTATGGAGGCAGATTAGTGCCCTACATGGAGGCAGGATGATGTTTACAGGCGACTCACAAACACAACAACAGAGAGGAGCAGCTGATCGACTGATGCCTCACAAAACTGCTTCCTGTTTGTCCTCTCGTCTCAGTCACAACAAAACAGTGACAGAAAATAAAAAACAAGAACTGCAGAGGTCAAGAGTTATGAATATAACAGGAATAAAAATGTGTCAAATATTTCTATTGTCGTCTAATTACTGGAAATCACAACCACTGAACAACCAGAATTTTCCATGATGGCCTGTAGAGCTGATTTAAAGTGTGGTTAATATGATTTATTGTATTTGTTGACACAATCAGCAGTAACACACCTGAGACATCTGGACACCTGCTGCTGCTCAGAGGACACACTGTCTTCAGTAACGTCCAGTTCAGACCAAACATTCACAACGAGACGAGTTGAAACAGGCGACTTCTCTCAACGCTCCGTTCTTTAATGTTGACAGGAAGTGACCACCATGAGGCGGCGTATCGTCTCTAGTCAACGACTCTCTGTACTTCTGATCTGTAACGTCGACAGGAAGTGACCGCCATGAGACAGCGTATCATCTCTAGTCAACGACTCTCTGTGCTTCTGATCTGTAACGTCGACAGGAAGTGACCGCCATGAGACGGCGTATCATCTCTAGTCAACGACTCTCTGTGCTTCTGATCTGTAACGTTGACAGGAAGTGACCTCCATGAGACGGCGTATCATCTCTAGTCAACAACTCTCTGTACTTCGTTCTGATTTGCAGCTTTTCAGACTTATTTTGTGGCTGAATATAATTTGTAGCTTCTTAAAATCTGAATGAGGATAGTGATAGTGAGATACTGGCTACAGTGATGAAACAAAACCAGCATCAGATGGACTGTATTAATAATCAATACGCCACAATAATATAAATAACCAGCGCCAATTCATCAGTCAATGAGAATGTGTGTGTGGGCGGGGCATAAGCACATACAGCCAGCAGCAGCAGCGACCCACTGCCTGACACCGGCACACCGTGAGGACAGAAACAGAGGGCTCTGTGGGGACGGAGCACCTGCTGCAGCAAGCCAACACGCCGTCTGCGATCAGTTGACTTGACCAGCGGACTTCACTACAAGGTGATTGGCTGTTGAAACAGGTGACGTGCTTTAAAACCAGCCACCGACCATTTGACCTGCTGAGTGTCAGGTGACACCATCAGCCGGCTTGAGTCCAGCTCAGACCGGCTGACACTTTTCCCTGCAACGTTCTAAAACAGTTTTGTGTCATCGCCGATCTTCGGTCTGAACTGGGCTTTAGAGAGAGGCTTCACCAATTCACCATTAACAAGACGTTAATATCAGCTCATGTGACTTCAGACATTTCTTACACATGGTGGTGCAGAGGTGTAGTCCGACCCTGAAGTTAGCTTCCCAAACCCGGTCTCACTCCAAAGGCATCAAAATCCAGACGTGTTGCATCATCTGAGTTCTCTGATGCCCCTCAGTGGAATCCTCAAATAACACGTGTAGAACATGTGGACAGTTGTGCTCACGATGCAGTGAGCAGATCTTCAGCAGCTGGTGATTGAGGGAGGTCGTTGTTTGCTCATTCCTGTTTAAATAGACCTAAAAATATTAAAAATCAGCTCAAACATTTATTCATAATCCCAGGCTTCTCTTGTCTGTGTCATCACGTTGTACGTGCATAATGACGTCACTGCGTTACGTTATGTGTGGTGCAAAACTGTGTTAAACCACATGGTGGCGCCAGAGAAACAAGTGATGAGTCGATCACATCACCTTTCAGGATTCTCGCTGTCATGTAATGGTGCAATCACATTTTCCAGGCCTGGAAGTTTTAGAAAAGTCCTGGAATATTGTTGTGCGTACAGAGTTTGTTAGAGTGGATAAACAGGTTAAGATCAAGTTATAATTATGACGTGATATCACAGGGTGAGAACTCTCAGATTAAATGTGCTGTTTGGGATGAGTTGAAATGATGACATGTCTCTCTGATTCTGTCACTCAGAACACCAACGGGCCCCCGGACCTCATGTTGGACCCCCGGACGGTGTGCGTTTGTTTGGACGAGGTGGTCAACAAGCGGCCGGCGGGCGGCCAGCAGACGCCGCTGCTGCAGGGACACCTAAAGAAGGTGGACAACAACCTGACGGAGGCCCAGAGGTTCTCCTCATTACCACGGAGACCGGCGGTCAACATCGAGTTCAAGGACGTCTCGTATTCTGTCAGAGACGGACCCTGGTGGAGGAAGAAAGGTACGGTGATACACCTGAGCAGCACCTGACGATAATGATGATGATGTCATTCAACTCCTTTTCACACAGAGAGGTGCTTCAGATTGGTGTGACAGGCGTGACATGTAACACAACAACGTCAGCCTCTAGTGTGACATATAACATACGTGTCAGCAGCTTTTTATAAAAAATAACAATGACATCACATGTCAATAACATCATTTAGCGTCCCTGTTATATGGCGGCTGATCTCGCAGCTGCTGTTCTTCTTCTTTGAGTTAGCTGCTAATTGCTAAGAGCTGCTGTTTTTCTTTGAGTTAGCCGCTACCTGCTAACAGCTGCTGTTCTTCTTTGAGTTAGCTGCCAACAGCTGCTGTTTTTCTTTAAGTTAGCCGCTAACTGGTAACAGCTGCTGTTCTTCTTCTTTGAGTTAGCTGCGAACTGCTCACCGCTGCTGTTCTTTTTCTTTGAGTTAGCTGCTAACTGCTGACAGCTGCTGTTCTTCTCTGAGTTAGCTGCTAACTGCTGCTGTTCTTATTTGTGTTAGCTGCTAACTGCTAACAGCTGCTGTTCTTCTTTTCTGAGTTAGCTGCTAACAGCTGCTGTTCTTCTTTGAGTTAGCTGCTAATTGCTAACAGCTGCTGTTCTCTGAGTTAGCTGCTGATAGCTTGCTGTTCTTTGTCTTTGAGTTAGCTGCTAACAGCGAACAGCTGCTTTTTAAATCTCCCGCACTGGGTCATACGCATAACATGTCGTGAAAACGTCACCCGTCCAGCTGTCTGTTCCTGTCATACAGAAGTTGTTTCGGCGCTGTCACTTCCTGTGATGTCACCTTAGAGGTAAACACCTCCTCAGTGTACTGACTGTACTTCTGTTCTATTTGTGTTTGGGGACTTCCCTGCAGACCTTCAGTTTAACCATAAGCAACAGTTTATTATTATCAGAGCCTGATATGGGACGCTGTGTGTGTGTGTGTGTGTGTGTGTGTGTGTGTGTGTTGGATTATGGGGCTGTAATCTGTTAATCTCTGCAGGGTCTCCTGCTGTAAATAGCTGCAGGTCAGATTAGACGCCGCTCTGCTGCTCAGAGAGGAAATAAAATACAGATGACAGAAACAAAGACGAACGAGGAGCCGACTGACGTCTGAACGACTCATTAATATCTACAGTGATATTAATACACTAATTATATAATCTGTGGGATTATAAACATAACACAATAAAACCATCTTGATACCTTCTGATATCGTTTTAGAGTTTAGAAGATAAATGTTGACGTATTAAGAATCATACTAATTTTATGTATTACACTACACAGACTGTATCCAGATCCATCAGTGGCTTAGTTTCTTTGTTCAGATCACAAACTTTATTCAAACATTTAAGTTTAAATCTTTGCTACGAACAACAACAAACAAGTTATTAAAAAAATAATAATAAAAAATAGATAAACAAATACATTAAACAAGATCAAATAAATGTAAATATATTTTTAACGCTCAGTGAGTCTGGACAAAAAATCTCATATCATGTTTCAGTTTTTTTAAAAGAGTGAAAACACAAAGTGTTGAGACTGAAAACAGGAAACGTGATGATGTTTGAGCTCGACTGTGATTATGGAACAAAAGAACCAGTTAATCTGCCTGAAGAGCCGCAGTCTGTCCATCTGAC